AGTGCTTTCCAGTAAAATCAACACAATATAAAACATGCAAATTAAACAAATAAACAAACAAATTATATATTAGAAATTATAAACAAATTACACATCACTGGGTGTTGAAAGCCAGTCTGAAGTTTTGAGCCTGGATTTAAACAGGTCCAAGTCTGTCATAGTGCGCCTTTCGGGGACAGTTTATTTGTCTGGGGCCAGTGAGAGCGAAAAAACAATCACCCCCGTGCTTGAGCCTGCAAGCATAAAAAATAAAATAAAAATGCTTGATGAAAATGCAACTAATGTACTAAATACAGGTATTGAATTTTTCTTATCCCACCCTTACTAAATGGAACTTATATTTGCAAACACACGCGGGTGCAATTTTATCTAAACACAAATTGTTTTAAACTGTATCAACATTTTTGTTTTGCTTCTAGTGACGACCTCAGTGTGACTGGGACGGACAACTGCACTTTCTCCATTTGTCAAAAGGCTCTTGGCAAAGACGACTTCACAAAGATCCCAAACGGAGTGAACGGTGTTGAGGACCGAATGTCTGTCATCTGGGAGAAGGGAGTGGTAAGTTAATGGCTGTAAGTTGACTGTCATCTATACTAAATTTTCTACATTCATTATGGTATCAAAGATATCTAAGAAACCAGGGGCTTTTGCAGTTATACCCTTTAAGGACCACTAGATGGAGGTATGAACTTCCCTGTGATCATTAACCAAAGGATAGGAGCATTACTTTTGACGGGGAAGTGAAAGGTCAGGATTTCACACAATTATTATTATTTAGTAGTAGAAGCAGGTTATCCAACACTGCACTGCATTTTGTATCGGAATAGGCCTATATTACAGCCCTCTTAAGTGTAATTGTTTTATCAGTGCTTCTATATGAAATCAATACTGCCTACATTTTTGTGGAATGGACAGAAAACCTTGCGAGAGTCACAACTGTGGTGGTGGAGACAGCAGATGTAGCAGTTTCTTACCATTATGTGCAAATGGCTGACTGGCCCAAGGCAAAAGAGGATTTACTATGACCAGCAGGGCTCACAAATCAAACTTTTTTGTGCAGAAATGCTGTGCAGTGAGCCCTTACTTTTGGTCTGCAAATGTTTAGTGCAGCGCTGTACTCACCGCTATAGTTCCCGTGTGTTTCTTTCCTTTTCAGCACAGTGGCAAAATGGATGAGAATCGATTTGTAGCTGTCACCAGCAGCAACGCAGCAAAAATTTTCAACCTTTACCCACAGAAAGGCCGGATCGACAGGGACTCAGATGCTGATGTGGTTATTTGGGACCCTGTCATGACGAGGTGAGCACCACTTTGTAATCATTCAACAAACTTATATTTAAGATTGAAGAATTTACAAAAAGCAATATTACATTATAGCAGCAATCAATTGATAAATGTAGTTCAAGGATTTGTGCATTTCATAAAGTGTAAAAAAAAATCAATTTTCACTAATCAACCCCTTTAGCATATGAAGATATGCCTAAATAAAACTTATTAGAAACCAAAAAGAAAAGAAATCAAATACTTGTTTTTTTGTTGTTGTTGTTGTTTTTATCATGGCAGAAGCTGAGGTGGTAAAATTCTGTTCGAGGAAAATTTCTGAGTTATGATGTGAACCTTGTTTTGTGGTCATGGTTAGAATTACGGCCTGGTTGTGAGATTATGGTTGGGGCCAGAATGAGGGCAAGGGTATTAAATGTTGGACCTTAAGGCCCTTTTATAAAACATTTCAAACAAACATGGAAACATTGGTAGTTTCCTTTAGATCAGGACTGTCAAAAGCACAGGCCAGAGTCTGGTTGCAACATGAAAATTTAAGGATTTACAAATAAAAAGACAGTTAGTTAATTATTATAACTATCTATTTTAACTAAGTTGTGTTATTTACTCCAGGGTATCTACAGCTGCCTGGTCCTCTGTTTGGTGGCTCTTCATGTGGGTTATTAAACCATGATTTTGAGTAAAGGCCTCCTGCATATTTAAATGATCTTTACACCCAAATGCGTGCCCACACACTGTGCACAAGGAAGAAAGTAAGACTTGATCTCGAGATGGGTGCCCATGTGACTTTTAAGGTGACTTAATAATTGTAGTAGTCGTAGTCGTAATATAATATTCGGTCATTTTGCAGCACTACAAAAACAAAACAAGACAGAATAGAGACTACAACCCCATGGTCACTGGAGAGATCACCATTAACATTTTCTCCTCTGCTCTCAAAATCATACTGTCTATAGTCAATACAGGGTATGTAGAGTCTTTGTTAAAATGGTAAGAAATAACTACAAAAGGAAAGTTTGTTCAAACCAATTTTCTGAGGTTCTACATCGATGAATGTTTTTTGTGTTTTTCAGTCCATGCCTTAACTCTCACGCTCTCCTCGGGGTCACATTGACTGGAATATTTTTTTTCCCCTTCCTGCTCTTTTGGGGCGGGTCAATCAGACCCAAAAATTTATTTTCAAATAAATTCTCGCCAGGCGAGAAAATACATTTTTGAGTCTGATTGACCCGCCCCAAGAGAGCGGGAAAAATATATTATTAAACTATATGTAGGCTACTGAAGTTCTCTCAATCTTCTTGATTCAGGACCTAACTCTATACAAAACGAGTCTCTTGGCTTGATTTGTTTTATTACCGCTCATGATCCTGTCGCGAATACACCAATTTGCCGATTTTGTCTAATAAAAATAATGAACATGTGCCACAACAAACCTATCCTGTAGAGATGGACTTGGGGCTACCGATCGCGTCCAGGTGCGTTTGGTGATGATCCCAATGTCGCTTCAACAGCAAAACCTCATTATTCAGCTACAGTCGCCTCCACCACCGCTAATATTTCTCGTCTGACTATTGTCATTTTCTCAGGGACTGTCTGTCTCTACGTTTCTACTTTTGATTTTTCCTACTGCTAGCCTGAGCTAACCACTGTCGGGACTTTCATGTGTGCGCACCGTGTTTTTCGCTCCGGTAGGAACAGCGTGCAAAGAAGTTATTTTCCGCAGGTTGATTTATAGATACTTGGCTGATTTTTTATCTTTCATATATATATATATATATATATATATATATATATATATATATATATATATATATATATATATATATATATATATATATATAGAGATGCTTATATATGTAATTATTTTTTTTTTTTATATTTACAATTTTTGTTTCACAGAAAGATTTCAGCCAAGACCCACCACCAGGCTGTAGATTACAATATCTTTGAGGGAATGGAGTGCCATGGTGTCCCTGTAGTGACAATCTCCAGAGGAAAAGTGGTCTATGAGAATGGGACGTTGAGTGTCTCTCCTGGACATGGCTCATTCATCCCTAGAAAACCCTTCTCTGAATTTGTCTATAAAAGAATCAAACAGAGAGAACAGGTAATGTTATATGATATTAAGACTGACGCACTCACATACAGTTTTATATTTTCATTACTGATTAGCTACCTTTTAAACTGTTGAGTGGGTGGATTGGACTTTCAGGTATTAGGTCGTATGACTTTTTAACCTTATTAAAGCTGTTTATCATTTTATCATATACACACATAATTTTTATCATATTACTTTTTTAGGAAGTTAAATTCAATGAAATACAGTGAGCTGTATTATATTGCAGTTTAATTTTTTATTTGAATTTAATTGGATGAGCACCACCTACAGATAAATGCCTTACCCCAATGAAATGCAGTATAAAGAAAAGCCTATCTGTCAAGGTCATTTATGCTAATAGAAAATATCATTTTGAAATTACTTAAACTTAAATTACTTCATTCACTTCATCCTTTTTCACATATTTTTAAGAGCAGATGGCTGGAGCTTAGATGGGCATGAGATACTGTAGATGTGGCAAACCTGTCCTAACTGTCAGGGTCAAATATCAGAGACAGTCCTTGTGTGTAATATGTTTCAGGGACACTTTTGACCTGTCCCCCAGGTAGTCAGTCCAAAAGTGCCTCTAATTACTGATTACAAAAAGAAGCACAGGTCCAAGCACAGCAAGCTGGTCTCTCTAACCTTTCTTTGTTCTTGGTTTTATGTTCGCAGGTGGGCAGACCAACAGCTGTGATCAGGGAGGCTTACCGGGGAGAAGTCATATCAGTGTAAGAAAAGAACAGTGAACATAGCCACTGTGAAACTACCTTCACCCAGAGTCTGGATCAAGTGTGATTAATGCTGTTCTCTAATAATGTTTTAATGGCATCTACTTGACTTTAAAGGTGCTCTGTGTAACTTTTCTGGTCTCTACAGAGATATTACTGTTTTGCGTTGATTATTTCACAGTATGGTAATAAACTTGGTAATCACAATGGAGACAGGTTCATGGTCAAATCTATACAGAAGCAAGCCACTACGTGATAAGAATTCATGTGTTTAGGCTATTTTTGAGCTATAAAGCACCTGTAATTGAAAAAAAAATAGCACAAACATTATTTATTATTGCATGCAAGAGGTTCAATAAATTTGGAAGACTTCTATATGCCATTTAGCGTGAAACAATTGTAGGAGTCTGAGATTTTTAGGTCAGTAATGTTTACAGTGCCTTTATCAGATAATATGTTTGAAACAAGTTTTCAGGTCAAATCAGCACAGTTCAGTAGAAGTCATTCTGCTGCATATTATGTCCCCAGCACACATTATGCAATCACATATTTCAACATAAGGACAATTCTCACATGCACTTAATGCATGATTTCCTTTATTCATTTCATCTCAAAATACAACTTAACTGTGGAAAAAGTACAACAATGTTTTCTCATTGTAATTATATATAATTTATATTTTAATGAATGAATGCAAAATGACAAGGAAATGGGTTATTATTATATAATCACTGTTACATTAGTCTAACCACATTTGACTAAAAAACACTCCTGGATGAAAGAAGGATTACACTGACAACAACATGAATTATAACTGTTTTATTGAATATTTGAACAGGGACAGTACACATATCTCACAGTTGTCATTGCAGTCAATGTATGCCAACTATGGATGGGACGATTCACTTAAGTCACGATTCCATTCATCTTTCAATTTTGGACTGCTGATTTTCGATTCTCTTCGATTTTGAACATTTCTTAGTAATTGTTATTAATGCTTAAAACTTGTGTTAGCATAAACAGTAAATCATAACATTTAGTGTTCCTACTGTAGATATTTAAAATAAATTATAAAAATAAATAAATAATTTTATAAATTAAATAAAAAGTAGGTTGCCAGTTCTTATCATTTAACTAAAATAGACCCATAGCAATTGGCAACTATGAATAGATATTTGACTTAATGATTTAGGCTACAATCATTAACACATAACACATAAAAAATACTGTGTCTCATACGGAGAAGGCGGTTTATGATCTGTTCCTTAAAGGCTATTAGACATAAACATCCCTATCAAATCTTTCTGTTTTCTGCATTTGTTTACTGTATTTTGATGGCTAAATGTCTCTGCTCCCCTTGACCATGAAGCATCTCTGGCTCCTCTCTGACTGTGTGGTAAAAAAAAAGAAGATGAGTATCAAAATTCACAAAAATATATATTTTCAAGATAAAGGATAAGAAATGTTTATGTAAGTTACCTATACATTCAAATACCATGCATTCTAAAAAGCAAGACTTTTGATCCACAAAGGCAATTACTTACAGTAGTTCAGAAATAAAAGTATTAAAATAGTTGTCAAATCATATATAAATCTGTATTTGTGTATTAACTTTTATAATAATATAGTAAATATAAAATGAATAGAGGCTATGTACGAGAGGCTGGGTGGGGAAATGCAGTACAAAGATAGAAATTATAGATTTGACAGATTATCTACTACATAGTAGCACAAAAAAGGCATTTGAAGGGACCCTGCAAACAACTTACATTTTCACCTTTTGATCTGCCAGACACTCCTGCTGCTCAGAGAAAACAGAGGGGATACGTTCTGGGCTTTCAGCATCCACTGAAACTTCTCCTGTAAAATAGTGGGATAAATTTAGCAAAGATAAACATTTACATCAGTTTACTGAAGAACAAATCAATAAACGTGTGGCTTAGATAACACTACAGTAGAGCACATCCTTCCTTCCTTCTTAGGTAACCATACTGGCTTGTTAACTGAATTATTATTAACTTTTGGATGGCTTGGGATTTTTTTCAAGACAGATTTTATCTAATCTTTCTGAGATTGACTAACTATAATTGTGGATGAATTTAAAACAACTGTACAGAGGATGACACACACGAAATCCTGTTTTTATCAAGATAAACCAAGTTAAGTTTAACACTTGCTAGTGCATTAAAGGTTAGCAATATTTGGCTTAATGTGCAGAAACTTTCTGATTTGTATAGAATAAAGTCATTTCTTTTACCTGCAAATGCGAGCACTGTTTTGTCTTTACCCCTCTGTTTGTTGTGTTGGGTTTAATCAGAATTTGTGTTTTGTTTTGTTTTGGTTTTTTTGTGAAGAAATGTCCGCAGGTAATTATGTGATAAGACTTTTAGTTTTGAGATACAAGTCCAGTTCCTGTTGTTCTGTCACAAAAAAAATACAACAAGCAAGTCTGTAAAACACATTTACAGCACCGTAGCATGCATGGAGGGACAACGATCTTTTTTTGAGAACCGTCCCTAATGTCAACATAGATCTATTTAATGAATCTCTCACTCTCACATAGTTTATTTTATTTACCACAATAATTGCTGGGTTCACTATTTTAGGCTCATCTCATTAAAAGAAAAAGCAAAAAAACAATGTGGTATTGTTTTTGTTTGTTTTTGTATTTTTTTAAATTCCAGTATCAGTCTATAAATATGGCTTTTTCATGAACCACTTGGTCAAAAAAGTGCATAGTCAGCTTGTTTGCCCTTGGTCTTAGTATTTGTGCATGCCCATATATGGCAAACATTCCTACAGCCTGCTGTTAAAGGTCTGTTGCTATCACATGACCACTTCCCATTGGGTGGCGTTGCATTTGTGTTTTGTGCCACAGGGCCAGCTGAGACGTTAATGTGAATTTATCAGGTTGGCTCTCGGGTCAGTGGTTGCGGGTGAGTCAGGGCTACTCAACCGTGCACGACTTCCTTCCTCTTGTTTCTCATGTTGGGATTGTGTAACTAGCTAAATGAGAAATTGGACCAACTGTGGAAGCATCAATGCAGTCATAACACAGTTTGTTTAAATTATTCAACAGGGCTCAAATACTCTATTTTACTGTACTTCTCTGCTGATGCTGGATGTGCTCACTTAGCCATAAAAGCATACATGTCACATATTGCCTATTGCCTCATTACATTTGAATAAAAAAATTAAAAAAAAGAAAGGAAGAAAAAACAAACACACACACAAAAACAAAAACAAAAAACTGTTGTACCAGTTTATTATCCAGATTGTCTATGGGGGAGAAAACCCAAAGACAGTTGTAGGATCAGGGACCACAGCTGACTCACTCACTCACAAGTTACAATAAACAAATGAATAAAGATATTGACAAGAAAAGGTTATATGGAGAAAAGCTCAATGAGCAGTGGGGAAAACACGTGTTAAGCTATATTTTAGACTTATTAAATATTTTAACCAACTAGTATTAGTATATGGATCATTTTTTGTATAGGCTAGCATTACTTTGCTACCAACTCTGCCACGCTCAGAATATACAGACAAATATTCATGGTATCTGAATATTCTATAATATAAGATTAGATCCTTCAGCCATTTCTGTTGCTAGCTAATCTTTGCAGCTTCACAATATTACTGTGCCCTCATTAGTGTGGACAGTGGATGACTATTCCTCGTTTCCCTTGGTTACTATCTGCCCTAATTGACAGGTTGGCTTTTATACTATGTGACATAACTTAATGAACTACTGCAGGAGACAGAGGCACTGATACTGTGAAATGAAGAGAATGTTCACAGTCCAAGCACAAGTACACACTATTAAAAATAAAACACATAAAAAAAGTGTGTCATACTGTGCTGATTCCATCCACTTTTGGTTTAAAGAGCAGTGGACACCAGAAATGTAGCTGTGGAGACAAAAATAAACATATGACGTTAATGTATTAAACATATGTGTAGGACAAGGTAGTATAAAGACATTCGCATGTGGGTAGTTACATTTACTTGAGTAACATTTGAAATATTTTATACTTCTCAAAGTGGTTTTCACCCCACTTTGTGTTTCTTGGACCACTTTTTCAGATATCATTTAGTTCTTCATTTTTGTGGTCTATCCTTTGAAAATGTCAGACATTTTCTATTATTTAATGTTCTGTCAATAATTAATGTTCTTATAATTAGTCTTTTTATCATTATCTCCAAAAACTTTTTAACTCTCACTTCTTCTTGGACTACTACTTTGTACTTCTACATGAGGAATATTATTTTTGAATTAACTCTTTTCTTTGTAACCACAATTTATAATTAGAGGCAGTGTCCCACTTACCTGTAAAAAAGTCCTGTCAGCACTGTGTTTTTTCTCTCTCCTCGTCTTCAACCTCTTCGTCAGTATTTTAGCATGCAAGTACACCACTCTTTCCTCTGCCACAGTACTGAAAAACTTCTCACACACCATGAGTCTGAGGTGAGACAGTTTTCCAGTCATGACGGCCATAACCAGCAGCACCAGCAATATGACCACTAAAGGGGCTATGGAGTTCACCAGCAGCAGTTTGGGTTTGGGCAGGCACTGCTTTTCAAACAGGGTTATGGAGTAAGAGAAATCTGTCATGTGGTTTTCTTCATTGAGTTGGATCCCCACAAGAGATGCAACCTTCTGTAAAAAGATAAAGTTGTATTTTAGTTTAATACACGTTTGAAAAGCTCATGTTATGCTATTTTCTGATCTATGTAATAATTTTTCTTAATTACAAAAAAAGTTGGGTTCTGTTTCATTCACACATTCAGCACATTTTGATCTTTGGATGTAGACAGACTAATTAGGCACTAATGAGACAGTATTACTCAGTCATGTGTTAATAAAACAAAACACAAGTCCAGGTATGTTTTTGATAAGGTAACAACATTATATTTTAACATGGTTTAAATCTCATAAGAATAATATATCATATTACGTGTATGTATATATATATATATATATATATAGTATTGTAATATGCAAATTGCAAGATACCTATACATAATTACAAAATGTAATTTGTACGTACTTGTTTAAAGAGCTCTTATTTTCACTAACCAATAAAAAGCAATGAGTTAGCATAGGTCTACTTACGGTGGGGGGTCCGCTACCTGCTTGGCTCCATGGAGATGTTTTTGCTTTGCCTGGAGTTTTCCAGAGTATGAAATTAAAGGTATCTAGCTGCATTTATTTTATTATGTGTGTTTTACAGCTAAAATCATTTGAAAAACCTCTTCAAACCATTCAATCTGGGCAAAGCTATATCATCTCCATGGCAACAAGCAGATGGCAGACCCCCCTTCACGAAAGCAAGTGCACCTTGAGGATTTTGTTAATGCCATTGATCATTATGTGTATTTGAGTCAGTGGTGCTGCACTTGCAGTGCACTTTTCACATTTTTTTGTTTATAATCTTTACAGTCTTTCTACTGAGCTGCCTTATTTCTTTACTTACTTTGATGCTTATAATCAAAGGGATATGAAATGGTTCCATCTCGGATAACTTGCTTGTCACAATGTCCACAAACAAATAAAACACGGCATCTACTGTTATAAATATTGTCCATGCTACAAAATGGGTTGCTATGGGGACACAGAATTTCCATATTGTCTTCAGTTCTTTGGTAGTGGGTCGTACAAATTGAACTTTTGTATATTTCTTCTCTTCTTCTGGTGTAAGAGGCAGCACATGCGGTCTCCCCTCTGCTTTTCTTTTGTTATCATATTCCACAAATTTGCTGGTAATGTACTTGTTTTTGTACTTCATATTTTTACAGTATTTTCGTACTTGCAGCATTATAAAAGTCAATAAAATTAAGAAGCTTATAGCTGGGAACATTTTGCTGGATACAGATGAGACAGTGGACATGACAGCTTGTGTATACCTCACTGTTTGATTCAACATCTGCTCAGCTTGTGCAAGTCTCTCCCGAAGTACTTCAGATTCCACTTTTGGAGTAATTTTGAGCTTGGAATCCAAATTGACAACGCCAAGATCTGTCACACCTTTCAGTATCTCCCCAATCCATTTCAGCATCTTCACATAGTTGCTAAATGGAGATGTTATAGCGTCTTTCTTGGCCCTGAAGTTGCATATTAAACTCCTGGTCAGTCCTGTCAAGTTTTCCAAGGTGTTACGGATGTTTTGAAAAATAACCAAACTTGTACCAGCCGTGAGCAGTAAGTTGCGACTTTTCTTCATAAAAATTGAGATGAAAAATAGTGTCCCATAGCATCTTACTTGCTTGGAATGGAAGAGAGCTATAGTCATCAGAAAACCGAAGCATCCAGTAATCCCAACAGCTACTTTCAAATCATAGTCCAAAATGCAAAACAGATTCAAAAATAAGAAGGAGCTTAGGATAAAACTAAAACTACTACATGTTCCAAAAAAGAGAAGCGATGTCCAAAAATCATCTTTTTGTCCAGTGGTGAAGACATTAATAGTATGTGTCCAGCAGTCTTCTAATAGCTGTTTTAATTCAAACCTCGAAAGAAACATTTTAGCAGGCAAAATATGCAATAAGTTTATAATGTCTAGTCTTTGCCTTTGTGTTTCTAGACTAAACCAACCGTATGTCACGTTATGAGTGGATGATCACAGCTTGCCTTCTGTAGCATGACGTCTAAACCTCAAATATGTGGTTTGCTCTCGTCTTAGAGTCAAAAACAGGAACTTATCATTGATCACACATCAGTCACTGCTGTTTTTAGACCACAAACTTAAGGAACCAGTTTCCATATACTTAATATGGACATTATGAGTTGCATTAAGACTTTAATATAATTAGCATAAATAACTGAGGTAAACTCTCAACTTTACTTTTACTATCTTGTGTATTCTTGGATAAAGGTGTTAAGGAATCACTGGTCGGACCCAAATATGCAGAGGAAAAAAAAAGTATTTTATTCACAAAATAGTCTTGGCGGGGGGATAGATTCCAGGGGAGGCAGGACGGGTCCGGGTTGGCTGCAGATGGGAGGTCTGTGGAGATGGAGGCTGACCGGAGGCTTACAGAAACTAGTGGTAACGGGATGAGGCTGGCTCCAAAACGGAAGAACTGGGGAACAGATAAAAGAAAACAGGTAAGAGTCAAAAATCTTCTGAAATGCTCAAAAACACAAAAAGCCTGAGTTGTTCACCACTTGGTTGACGGAACAATCTGGCACTGGAGAACAGGTCAGCAGGTCTTTTATTGCAGGAGATGATTCTTGACGTGGATCAGGAGTGGAGCTCAGCAGGTGAGATGAATTGGGGACCTGCCCAGGAAAAACCAAATAAGGTGAGAGAAGGGAAGAGGGAGCAGGGAAAGGAGGGGTAGGAGAGGCAAAGAAACCCTCACAAAAGGGAATTTGAATTGTTTCTGAAGCTGTATTATTATTCTTTCTATCACATGGATCAAGGCATGTGTCTATAATTATAATGAGCAAGTTTAATATAGTTAAGATTATAAAACAACTAAAGACTTCAACTTCACTGCAATCATAAGGCTACACATATAAAGGTGATCAGCACTGTTCTGTTCTTGTATCATTTACATCTATTATGTAATATTCAAGTGTATTCAATCCATGTAGAGCAGTACCTTTGTGTTTCTTTTTATACTTCTAGACAATATGTTACAGAGAAAATGAACAGTTAGTGTTGAGAAGGTGATGTGAGATGATTAATGTAATATGGACATCAGTAGTCTCAGCAGTGTTGGGAAGCAACTGAATAGGTGGACCAAGAATATGTATTCTGAATGAATTCAGAATTGTGAGTAACTGTATTCTACTACAGTTACTTTTTCATTTGGCAGTATTCAGAATACAGTTACTTTTCTAAAATCAAAGGAATACATGACTGTACTTGATCACACAATATTGGCTTCAAACTACACATAATCAGTGAGAAAACTAGAAAACACAGTACTTGTGGTAAGTGCATGTACAATTTTTTCTTCTCCAATCAGTGATAATAAACACAAAGATAAAAACATATTTGTGTTTATTATCACCATATACTGAGTTTTTTCTCACTACTACTTTTTATTTAAATGCAACTTGTTGTAAAAGCATTCAGAAAACAGTACTCTGATTGACTGATTGGCTCATACTTTACACAGTACATTTTAATGCAGGTATTAAATATTCTGTAACTGAATACATTTTTGAAGTACTCTTCCCATCACCTTCACTGCTCACAAGTCAACTAAAAGTCTATTTAAGGTTTATTACGTCAAGGGTCTAAACCTGCAAATGCAAATAGCTGCTGAATTAAGTTCAGAAGGTTAAGGCATAGTGAGTCACTTTAGTTACTATTTCAAAGTCTATAGTTCCATTAAACTGACCAAACAATTACATAATAACAGTTTTAGAAGAAGGAATGCAGCCCAATTATTTTATTTATGTCTTTATAAATTCATGACTGTGGTTATTCTGGCATGTGTAGTCAGTAATGTGAGTCTACAGGAATATGTGGAAGTTGAGCCTTTGTAACTGGATCACACAACACGTCACATCAGTGTAATATCATTTTTTTATTTTTAATTTGAAAAATAACTTACATAAATCTCTGTACTCAACCATACTTCACCAAGACATAGCCTTGGCATTAACACATTGCACCAAAAAGAGAAAATGAAAAGGCATTCAAAAGGATCAGAACATATGTCTTTGTCATAGATCACGTGAGGCATTCTTCCTCCTCCTGCTCAGTCATTTGTGTAGCTCTTTATGCCATTTCTGACATATGAAAGTATGTACAATGGAAAATCAACTGAAAATATACACTGGAAATGTACACTGTAGCTCAATACAATGTTATTCTCAGACATGAAAATGTAGTAATCGTTGTGTGGAAAAGGAACAATGCCTCAGCTCAATTTCATTCAGACATACTGCAACTAGAAGTTTCATTTACTTCCCACAAATGAGAAGTACTTATAATTACTAAAAATAGAAAATAAAAAATAAACTGGTCTTGGCTTTTAAATAAAACTAACAAAAATATAGTAAATTAATTCTTCTTTTTATTAAAACAAGAAAAAGTCATTTTCTGTGGCAATATCCCTTGTTATTTGTGATTCACTCTCTTCTCAAACTGTGCCTGTAAGACTGAACTACAGCAACACACGTCGCTGTCTCTTGATTAGTTTTAGACATCTCACTTGAACCAATGCAGATTATTTTTGCATGTTTGTCATCAATACTGAAAGAAAATACACTTGCAAACACATCTGTTTTGTGAAACCTCTGTTAAATATAAAATATTTTCCTTGTCACTTATTTTTTTCTCAAAAACCTGAAATAAATCATGAATTTGGGGTGGAATGTTCGTCAAAATTTTGATAGCTGGTCTTGGTAGACCAAGAAAACAAATTTGTCTCAGAGTTCAATTGAAGGTGAAGAAGAAAAGTAATGATGCGGACATGCACTGTACAAGAAACTGCAAAAATTTCAAATATCATCTTTATCAAAACATGCTGAGTTACTGTAAGGTGTGCCCAAGCCATGTTGCAGATAATCCTTTTCAACATGCTTGTTAAAAAAAATCAAACCCAACAGAAAAAAAAAAAACATATGTAAACCATACAGAACGGTAACGGAACCAACAGCCCTAAATCTGGACATTATCAGGGAACTGATGGTAGCATGAATAGTACAATGGTGAGTACCCTGGGACAAGGAAGAAAAGAGAAACATGTACAATTTGCACATAATGTTTATCTTTATAAGGCCTGGGCCTTTTACAATGAAGTAAATCATTTACATGTATTTTTCATTTTCACTTTTGTCACATAAACATTTTCTGTTAAATATCTCCAAAAGTTTCCTTAGGTTTCCCTTATTTGCTTGTCTGCTAATCACAGACTCTGAATGGTCTAAAGAAACAATGTATTTTTTATCACGATGTTGCATTCACTCCCCTTGAAAACCATGCACTAGTGAAATTTATTTTTAAAAATAATATAAATTGTTGAAAATGGCTGATCTGTTTTACTTATTTTTCATCTTTTTTGCAAGTTGCAGCCTCAAGAAAATAATTTTCTTTTTTATTCCGCTAAATTTGTCCATGCAAATGAACTAAAAGAAAAGAAATATTATCTCATTAAATTTTCATACAATATATCAACAAAGATAGAATGATGGTAGATTGTACATCTTTTAATGGGACTTGATCATTGCTATGTTGCGTGAAGTGCTGATGGTAGTCACTTCTAAAATGTCTTAGTGTAGTCTTTCTGATTTCCCATATGGTTTGTACATAACCCTATCAGTGAGTGGGCCTTTCACGTACTTTAGTTTTGAGGGACGTGTGGATTCAAGCTGGGACACACCTCACCCAAAGTGGTCTCCAGACTCTATCTACACAGCCAGGTCTGTTGGCATGGCATGACCAAGCATCTGAATAGAAAAAACTGTCACCTCTTCAGATACAAGCACATAGACATTAAAAAGGAACAAAACAAAGTAAAAACAAAGCTAAATTAAAGCAAAACATTTATTTTTCATTCAAAAAGGGCTTCTGTAGAACTCATTTAGTGGTTCCCAGTACTGACCCCCATGGCTTTGAATTGGATGAAATCCTGGAACTGACAGATCCTCGTGCTAAGGAGTTCATTCCAGCTTCCTCCAAACGGCGGCGCGGCCAGGCGCCTGCAACACCCTTTGCAATCGTGCACAATATGTGCAACAGGATCACTGCTGCACCCCTAGAACAGGCTCAGAAGACACAACATCAAGCATGCAGTGTAACAGGGGGCGTGACCTGTATCGCAACACTGGCTGCTACAACAACGCTATCAGTCCACGCGCTGCTATGACCGAGAGAAACTGTCCAGAGACGATTGGGAAGCTCTTCGTGTCAGTGGGGCCAGAGTGGGGTCCACCAGTGAGGAAGGAGGAAAGAGCTTGAACCAGCCAATCACCATGTTTGACAGGTCCAGCTCGTCTAACAGTATCTGAACTGCACCCATGAAGGATTTATGGTCCATACGTCCGTAGTCGCCCCATACAATGACCTAGGCACACACAAAACACAGTAAACATGACATCTCAAAATATTATTGGACACTGATTTATGATATCTAAATATTAAATATTTGCACCTGTAAAACTTTCCCTCCTGGACTCTCCTCAAACGGCAGTTGCTGCTGGTATAGAGGATCCAAGGTTTTTCTTGCTACTTTTGTTTTCTTTTTGGCTATGCAAACCCCATTTTCCAAAAGGTAAACCTTTACATATGGGGCTGTGGAGCAGAGAAGACAGACTGTTAAATGCTGTGCACGAAAAATGATTCTAAGACTTGGTTATAGGCAGACAAATGAAATTACCTGGCAGTGCCTTGGAACCTGGTTTTCCCACAAGGCCACGAGCACGAATTACCTCCACCTCCAGCGCTCCTTTCTTCTCCACCATGCCGATCTGTATGTCACCTGGGCAACACAAGTTCAAGAGTGTGTGTTAAAGAAATGGTTGACTATGTGCTATTAACAAAGAGGATAAAATCTACATGCTATGTTAAACAGTTAAAAATAAAGTTATCCTAACCCATTGGAGGAGTGGCCAGTGTCTGTCGTCCAACCAGCTGGGCAGGACCGAGACCATCCAGAAAATCACTGAACTGTGCGTCTGATGAGAGCCTCACTCCAGGAAAGATGAGGCTAAAAAAATACACACAGTTAAATACAATGTTCAATATATAACAAGTATTTTTAATGTTTGTTTTGATCCTTACTTTCCCTCTGAGCTGTAGCTGTTCATGCTGCCGTCTGTGGACTCCCGACTGGCTTGCCTGGTCATGCGACTCCTCATCTCCACTGCCAGCCCTGTCTCTGTGCTCCTCTGGATGGTGCTACGCAACTTCTTCCCTCCAGCTTCTACACAGACGGGGAAAGAGAGGGAGAATGATGATGGACACTGCCATTAAAGCCAATGAATCACTTTCTGAGTCATGCAACTTTACATTCACATGGACAGTTTGACAATTAAAGTGGAGTTTTTTTAGAACAGCTATAGCAACAAAAGGCCAGGACCTCAGTGAAAGGAACAATATGTACATTTCTAAACAGTAAGCCCAGCCTACAAACATCCCGTGTTAACCCAGGCTTGTGCATCCGCCCCCGACAGAGACTTTTGGCTGATTCAAGACGACAGCTGCCTGCACCATTGGCCCTCTGCTGCTCATCTCCCCGCTGCCTCCCTAGATCCACGTGGCCAGGCCTGTGGCAAATGTGCTCTCATCACACACCTGCGCTCCCATATACTGTATCAGTTACACCAACATACTCAACAGCTACGTATACATGTGAATTACAGCTTATCATTCACTTATTCATTTACAGAAAAAGAAAGATGTCATGTCGTCATAAGAGGAAACTCACAAGTCATAGTTTCTTAATATAAATGACCCTCAACATGAATGCTTTATTATAATTCTAATATCCTGGACAAATCATTCAGTAATTCAAATCAGAGGCTAATTAGATGACATAGACAACAACAACAACTTCTGATTTCATAACAAATGCAAATTGGACAAACTTATTTTATTTCCCAGAAGTCACAGCGCAATCAAAGTCGCACAAATCAAAGTCGTGATAACTTTGCCACAAGCTCCTACTTGATTAAAAGCATTCCTCTATTCACTGCTCCCTTATGTAATAATACAACTGATAAGTTATTTTTTTGAATGGCTAAAGTACAACTCGACTGTAGGCCGTGCAAGCCCATCGTCAGGGGCATATTGTGCATGTTCTTCTCTATTTTCCGTGAGCCAAGGAAGTGCAGAGAATAACAGGTTTGATCCTTGCGCTCCTATCTCGCACAAGTGTAAAACAGAGTCTCATCTTTTCAACCTTGAGATCTGGTTCATTCATCTAGCCTCCGCCTCCTCTTCCTGCTCTTCACACAACACACAATAGGCCCCAAGCAGCAGAGGTTGGTAGTGACGTTGGCTGCAAATCTGCTCAAAGACCTTCTCCACCATTCACAATTTCAGTGGAAGAGTAGAAAACTGATGTGAGAACTGTATGTTCCCATTAGATAAGACATTTTGAACAGTTTTTGTTGACTAATTTGACTGACTGATCCAGGCTACGTGTCCTATATCATGCCCTATATTGTCAACAGAGCTTTTCACACCAAATCCATCAACTCCAAAATAATTCATTTCCAAATCACTGTACTACACTGTATGTAAATCAACTATACAACTATACAAATGTAAATAATACAATTGCAAAGTATAGGCAAAGTATAGTGTAACTATGCACAAACTTTTACAAACTCTTTTTTTTTTTTTTTTTTTTGGGACCATAGACTAGAAAATACAAAATGTGAAATATATTGTAGATGATAAAATGTGAATAAAAGTATTTTAGTTTTTCACAATCACATTTTTTTCATAACATTTAAAAATAGCAAAAACAATAAGCATTGTATATTAAAGCTATTAATATCAGATGACTCAAAAAAAACAACAACAAAAAAACAGTGTGAACATAGCATTATTAATTAACAGGAGGCTTTGTCTGACACAATTTTAGATACTCACACTTACATTTCTGATGTTTTAGAACAACTGAGCTTAAGACAGCAGCTAAAAAGAGGCTGTGTGGTACAAGCTGTCAACCTAATAAAAATAGTAATTTCTATATTGAAGTACATGACAAAACATTTAATAATATGTATGATAGTTTTAGAAATATTCAACAAACCCAGTGCATATTTGACCAAACCAGAAAGAGTAACAAAAGTATAGGATAATACCTGCATACAATGAATTAATGAAACCTATGTCACGAGCAGTATAGAAAACCCGTTTTGCACTGTCATCAGTGCAATTAAAACATCCCAATGATCCTAATTAAACTAATTACTGTGCAATGCTGCTACACTTCACAGTCAATAGCCATGTCAATAATCTTCTATTCACATCTGCACTGCACCTCAACCCAGGAGCCTGTCTCTTACCTCCATCCTCCTCATCAAAGGAGTTCATGCAGGGGAAATAGACTGCCAGAGCCTCAAAGGACGCAGACAGGCTCATCTTGCTCTGGGACCGCTGTATCCGCATCCCTGCAGCCGGGGCTGAGCTGTCACTGCTTTGCCTCCCCATCGTCACAATCCGATGTTTGTCTCAAAAAATACTAAGGTTGTCTTTCTAAGTTACAAAAGTCTATACTGAACATTTGATCTAGGTCGTAATCTGCTGTAACACTATTCCGTATTCTGCATTCAGAGTAGTAGATATACAGAGAGATGCTTTAGAGTCCAGGTCTTGTGCTGTCTGAGCCTGACGCTGCCGCAGCACCTCGTCTTCTCCGGGGGGGAGGGGGAATAGCTGCATCGCTTGTAGCCAATCAGAGCGCTTGGATGCTCAGGCGTACCTTGGCTGGCTCTGCGGGTGAACCAGCTCTACCCAGTGATACTGATACTCAGCTCACTCCTAGGACTGTTTCTCACTAAAACCTTTAAACTTTTCTTAATAATATACAATCCCCTCTCTAAGCTATAGAGTCTGATTGAATGAATTCTTGTTATTTGGCTGTGTTGATCAGCTTCACTGGAGATCATTGAGGCACACAATAGTCACTCAGTGTTCACGTGCTCACCTCAAAGCCCTGTGTTTTCACAATGTCCAGGCACTGTGAGAAATGACTGTTCATTTACCAAGCCAACAGCCACTACTCCCTAACCGTCATTAAATCATTTTGACAAAGTTGTGCAAGATGTTTAAAAGAACACAGTTCTTCAGGGAAGACTGTGTTCATTTAAACAAGGAAATTAATTATTTATTTGTTAGAATAAACACATTTTAGTCAATAGCTTTTGTGATTATAATGAATAATAAGACATTTAGGGAAATATCAGCCTTAATAAATCAGCAATCATCACTGCATATTTTGCTGAACATGTATTTGATTGGTTGCCACTTTCCATTTAACATTTAACATGATGAATGACTTTTTTGAACAAAATAGATATACTATTAGGGTAAAGCAGGAAGATATAATGTGACTGTTTGCACACAACCCTCAACATTTAAATGGTTCCATACTTTTAGACTTTCAGACTTTTTTAATTACACAGGGAAAAGCTCGATTCAGATGATCCCTGTGTTAACATATGTGCAGACATGTTGTCTCTGTCTGTTTGATACACATCAGCTCTGGAGAGAAAGCTGCTGTTTGACGCAGTTCAAAACCCCCACTGGGCTTTGTTTTGAATAGCTCAGTGGCAGCAGAGACCATGAACGACTGTTAAAAAGAGGGGCATTATATTAAAACAAACCAGACTCTGCAGTGTCGTAGCTCAAGAAAATGTCCTTGTTACAAACACAGAGCAACCCACTTCCAGTAAAGAACCTCTTAAGTGTGGCATCCAACTGCACTGTTCAATGGGGTCAACTGAGGAACCCATATGTGAACAAAACAGTGCAATACTATAAAGACTATGCCGTACGGAAGTACAAATACATCTTTATAAATAGATGGTAACAGTTAAGTGCTGTCAATTCCACGTTTAAATCCTAATAGTCTTCTAATGGTTCATGCCATGGAGACTAATAAAACTATATAATAATAACCAACTGTGCATTTATCCTTTTCTGAAAGCCAAAGCATCATTACGCATACAGCTTTCATAAATCACACACTCAGACAGCAGCTTCAGCATCTGCTGAAAGACCCAGAGACCCTGTACTCCCACAACATCCCCAGAGCAGCAGATACAAGAAAATAAGGTTAATTAATGTGGCACTTTCCTCAGTGAACCATTTTCTTATGTAATAAAAGGGCTTTAAACAACAATCAGTGTATCTTGTGAGGCTGTATTTGTACTGTGTAAAGACATTGCAAGATAAAAAGATTAATTTTACATTGTAATTAATACACAGCTCTTTATCAGTAAGATACATTCATATTTTTTAATGCTGGTAAGCCACTTTCATGCTTTCACATTCGTCAAACTTTAGTTCCAATTTAAGTAATTTTTGATGTTGTTTCACAAGTTGATCACAAACAGCAAATACTGATAATCTATTCTTGATCTTGATCTAATAGTAACATTTTGTTGGTTTGTAGCCTATTATTTGTAGTATTAGCAGCAGTATTTTTTCAGTAAATACAATTATTTTTGTTTAATCTTCTATAGTAAATGGCTTAATTTAATATATACTATAAATACGAATATTTACTAAAATTATTATAGTATTATCCCGATCACATAGATAATGTGTTCTGTTTTGTGATTAAACACAGACTTCCTCTGTGGTCATAAATGTACACCAGTTTCTCTGAAGCATGAGTAGTAAAAGACCTATTGTCTACTGGATCAGTTACTGTCCAATCCTTTGATGATTCTATGTTTAACTGGAAACCCCATTACCACAGAACACAAGCATCCAAAGCATCTCTTGTTCTATTCTCTATTTCAAAACATGGAGTGTCATATCCCAGAAGTCCATGTTTTAGCCCCTCCCCTTTGCGCTCTGATCATACACAGACCTGTTTGGAGGAGCTAGTGATTGATGAGGGTGACTGGGCCAAGCGTCAGACCATGGTCCGGGTGCTGCGAAGTGTAAACTGGAGTCTAATGGAGGGCCAGTAGATACACACACACGTACACAGAACACACACACACAGAGCACTTAAAGAGGCACGAGCAGCCATACATGCACAAAGGTGGATAAACCCACTCCTGTCTCCTTCCCAGTTTACATTATTCACTGAAGCCAAGATTTACTGGAGCTTCCCATTTAGATTTGGCAGGACATAGTGATTCTGATTAAATGTGCTGCTATTTAGGTGTTATCATAATAAATGAAAGAGACTGAAAGAGGGTGTGCTGAAGTCGTACTGCTAATTTTAGGTCTATG